CTATCCCCCGTTCGTCACAAGTCGGCATCTCAAGACACAAGATGCCACCCTACCCCCAAGCTAATGCTGAACTAAGAGCCATGTTCAGTGACAAAGTAGGGAAAGAGGTTTGAGAGACCGCAGTAACATCTAAGAAATATACAGCAGTGAGGACATCATCAGTTGTTTTCAGTTTGTCCAAAGAAACATTTAAAACAATGTAAATTCTTCCAAAGCAAAGTTATAATGGAGCTAATATGCAGTAAATGTGAGACTAAGAATGTGCTTCCTGCTTCTAAATGAACCTACAAAGTTTAAAGAACCAACAAAGAAGGCTTTAAAAAAAAAATGAGGTAACAAGACAGTAGAGCTTGGTGATATATTGATTTTGGTTTTAATGTAATATCCTTAATGAGCTTAAATTGTGTTTTCCTGGTTTTATGGGCTGCATAAGAATCAAAACAAGTCTCTGAGCTCACTTCAGCAGAGAGAAAAAAGCAATGAATTGTTTCTCTTTCTCAAAATACTCTCGTGTAAATATCTTACAGTAACATCACAGTAAAGATTACAAGTGACAAGGTATTAAGTCAAGTTTGTTTTCATCAGTATTGCCACCACCTGGTTTCCAATAATAGAAAACATTAGCTCTTTTGTATACTGGAAGGTTTTATCTTCTTTTCCCAAAAATGCTAATTTACCTTCCCTTTTTCATTTATTCTTTTTTATCGTCTGATCTCACCCTTTTCTCTTTGCTTCCTCCCCACAACCTCTCCAGTCTAGCAGCCAATGAGGTAATCAGTCAGCTTGTTACAGTCTGATAAGTGATACGATACAACTATTGATTTTGGCCCCTGTGTCCCGGTGCAGGGGTCAGTCCTGCCACATCGCCTGGCTGCCAGTTCGAGCCTCAGAGCTGTTTTCAGGAACCACAAACAGATGCTGACTGGGCTCTTTCAAAGCTATTGTCACAAAGAGACAGACTGTAGGTTTATGGACAGTCACACTGACAGATTTTCCTTCATACAGAAAGTATTGTCAAGGCAAATTGTGTCAGCTGGAGTTTGATCTTGTGTTTCGGCTGCACAGGAAACCAGCTATTCAGGTCGGACTTTGATCAACAATGGATGAAAACATCACATGGCTCCCACAGGAATGGAGGGTATATCTGTCAAAAGTTTAATGACATTACCCCAGAATACAAGGTAGAGACTGTTATCCTGTCCATCAAAAAGAGACAAAAGCAGAGAAGAACAGAAGCTCAACCTTTTCACCAAACATCATCGGCTTTAAATATGCTACGAAATGCAAATTTAATTTGGAAAACAGAACATAATGGACCTTTTAAACTAAATCAATATAATCAATTTAATTCAGACAAATCCCTTAAAACATGATTATTAATTCAGCTTTAGATTTCCTTATAGCTCTGATGTGTCTGATAAATTAAAAAAGCTCAAATAGCAGCTATAT